AAGTGAAACCTATGAAAGACAGCCAAGGGAACCCAATTACCAAGGAAAAAAGACAGATCAAACAATGGGCTGATCACTTCAAAAGACTCTTGAACCGACCACCACCTGCAACCCGTCCAGAAATACCAACAACATCGCGTACACAACTGCAAGTTGACACCAATCCTCCAACGAAAGCTGAAGTCTTGAAAGCAATCAAGCTTCTGAAAGCTGGAAAAGCAGCTGGACCAGGTGGAATACCCCCTGAAGCACTGAAAGCGAACCCAGAGATGACAGCAGATATGCTGACTCCATGATCGCAAAAGGTCTGGAAGGAGGGAAAGTTACCTACTGACAGTAGGAAAGGTTACCTGATGAAACTACCAAAGAAATGCAACTTAGGACTCTGCAAGAACTGGAGAGGAATCATGCTCCTGTCGAAACCAAGTAAATTTCTGAGTCGCATCATCCTGGAGAAAATAAAGAACGCACTGGATACAGAACTCCGACCAGAACAAGCTGGATTCAGGAAAGGCAAATCATGTTCTGACCAAATTGCAACTCTACGCATTATCATCGAACAAAGCATGGAATGGCAATCAAACCTGTACCTCAACTTTATAGACTTTGAGAAGGCCTTCGACAGCGTTGACCGCGAAGTAATTTGGAAACTACTCGAGTACTACGGTATACCCCAAATATTCATCAACCTCATTCAACAACTGTACGACAACGGCACATGTCAAGTGATCCACAACGGAAAACTCAGCGAGGCGTTTGGAGTAAACCCAGGAGTCACACACGGGTGCTTATTATCACCAATTATATTCCTAATTGTGATAGACTGGATTATGCGTCAGACAGTGGGAAATGAAAAGACAGGGATATCCTGGACCGACGCGAAGAACCTAGAAGACCTGGATTTCGCAGATGATTTATGTTTGATGTCACACAAAATTGAAGACTTACAAGCGAAAACCAACGAACTGGTCGAAGAAGCAGCAAAGACAGGACTTCAGGTAAACATAGACAAGATGGAGGTTATGAAACTAACCAACCAACAACAACGACAACAGCAGCAACATCCAGCGCCAATCACCATCAACGGGAGGGATTTGAAAGAGGTTACTTCATTCACTTATCTAGGGAGTATTGCCTCAACTACAGGAGGGACGGACGAGGATGTCAAATCGAGAATCAGGAAGGCGAGAAACACATGCATCAACCTGAAACCAATCAGCATCAACAACAAAATTCGGATTGTCAATACAAACGTCAATTCAGTCAGTTCTTCTATACGGATCAGAAACTTGGCGGGTCACAAAGAATATTTCCAACAGGTTGCAGACCTTTATTAACAACTATCTTCGCTCTATACTGAAGATTAGATGGCCTGAAAGAATCACCAACAAGAAACTATGGGAGCGAACAATACACGAATCAATGGCTCAACAAATATGCAGGAGAAAGTGGAGATGGATTGGACACTCGCTGAGGAGGTCGCTGGGTGACATCACGCGTCAGGCCTTTGAGTGGAACCGGATAGGGATGTCCAAGGGTGACATGGAAGAGATCGTGTGAAGAGGGGCTGAAACAGTATGGACTAACATGGATGCAGGTGAAAAGTACAGCAGAAGCAAGTGGAGACGTGCAGTTGAAGCCCTCTGTTCTACTAGGAACCCAAGGGAACAATAATAATAATAATTGATAGAACCATTATTATTATTATTATCATAATTACTATTATTATCATCATATTATTGGACAAAGTTTTTAAAGACAAGAAATGTCCTTTTCATACATAAACCCTTGTTACTTTAATTTCCCTGAATAAGTTCGGGCCAGTTTGCTGAACGAAATTCTTGAATTACTCATTTCAATTCCGCTGAAGTTTTACGAATATAATTTTAATTTATGTCTACTTCTCAATCAACACCCAATTATTTTGGAACTATTTGTTCAAATCTTGATCACCGTTCATATGTTATCAGTTTGCTTCTTGTAAGAAATAAAATCATTGCATGCATTCTATTTCAATGTAAAAATCACACTTTTTTTAAATTCTTATATCAAAAGTATTACATCTAATTATTAAAACAATTACTCCCTTTGATAAATTTGAACAAGACATTTATAAGACAAATTTTGCGAGATGATATCATTTCGTATTTTCTCTACAGTCGCTTCACAACTGGCATGGCTCACAATAATGAAATAAAAAACGAGGTCATGACAATTAATTAGTTATATAAAATAAAAGTACATACTAATGACCAATCATATTTAAATAGGTTAAGTAGTCCATGGTAGGCGAAGGTTGAAGTCCGTTGTTTTTTGTATACATGGTTTAGGATGTGTGTGATTAATCCAAAGTTCTTCCACCATCTTTAATAACCTTGAATTGGGAAGCAGCCATTAATATTGATTTTGTGACCTGACCTTAATAAGTAATTGCCAGGGATGATGATGGATTTCTATTCAGATTAATTGCGTTGGGATTTTCTATGTGTCTTGATAACCATTTTGGAACATGTTCTTTTCAACGACATTGGAATATTCTATTGGTTCTATCTTAATAAATGTTACCCTAACTGCAGGTGAACTTGTACACACAGATTGATGTAGAATCTACAGAATTCAATCCCTCAATCATAAGTAAAGGGGTCGGAAATGTTCGAGATGTGAGGGAAAGAGATGCGGCGTAAAATGTGCGTTTGATGGCTGACCGAATTCTTTGAGCTGTCAACTGCATGATTTGATCACTCTCGAAAGGTAAGTTAATAAAGATAGCTTTCTTTGGTACAGAAGTTATCTTTTCAAGATGTGGTCTATCCTTACTGTGACAATTGATGAAGTTTTCTGGGTAACCATTAACTAATGAAACTGAATGTATAAGTTGAAGCTCATCCATCAATGTGTTACTCGTGCATATTTTGTGGGCCCCTGTAAACAAATATTTCACTAGGGAGCGTTTACACTGTATATGAACAAAACTGGTGAAATGAAGCTATTGTTCACTCCATGTCTGCTTACGAAATATAGATTGTTTAATCATCTCTCGTGGTCATTGAAATATCCAAGAAACGGAGTCTCTTATTCGTTTCGAATTTGGAAGTCATTCGGATATTTGGATGAATATGATTAAATAGCATAACAAAGTTTTCGGTAAACTTACTATTATTACCGATAACCAGTGTATCACCCACACAACGTTTACATACCATAAATGTTCCTAGCATATCTTGCATTTGTTTCTCCAATTCAGACATGAATGTATCTGCTAACATGAGTTCAAGAGGGCTCCCAATCGCAACACCATCAATTTGTTTGTATGCCTTTTCTTGGATTATGAATCTGATATTTTCTGTACATGTTTCGATAATGTCTCTAATGTAAGTGACTGGAATAGATAATTGTATCCCACTGCTTGTGATGTAATCGTAAATGAAATCAACAGTTCCATGAAGTGGAACATTGGTGAATAAAGATTCTGTATAGGTTGAACACATAACCTTTTCCTTAATGTACACGGTGTCTAGGATATTGGTCAGGTGGAATGAACTTCTTACAGAATCATTTGATAATGAGCCTCTTACAGGCGTAAGGACCTCAGTAATCAATTTTGTATGGAGAATTCTGCCATAGCTAAGATGGGTTTCAGCAGGTTCCCAGGTTTGTGAACCTTTGGAAGACATTTAATTATAAAGAATCCATTCTGCAGCCTGTTTGAATCACTTGGCTACCTGAACCACCATTCAAAGGAATGCATCTTATTCTCTCCAACTCTTATTGTTTCAGTCATTCACTGTTTTTGAATTAAAAAATGTACTTATGCAAATTTTCTGTTAGCTTTTAAACTACCGGTGCGCATTTTTCGGAGGTGGAGGAAAGTGTTATAAAGCATTAGTCTATGTTTCAAATCTAACAGCGTTTTGTCACATGATATACCATGGATTTCTACTTACTTGGAGATCTTGGACAAAGAGAAAATATTATGCAGAAAATTGCAGTGAGAATTCAGTATATTGTGTAGACATTTTGTCTAGAACAAAGCTATTATTGTTATAATTTAATAATACCATTAAGCATATTATTGAAATCACTCTTTTGCACTTAAAGTTATTCTCAGTTACTAATTAAAATTCACTTGTTCAAAGAAAGCATATTTCAGTCCTCTTTCACTGATTTTAATGTCTTTTCTTTACTATTTTTTTCATTTAATTTTTATTTTGAAAGAAATTTTAAGTGAATGAATTTACTGTCTTGTGCATACCTCTAAATGCATTTCAAAAAACTTTGTCCTCATTACTATACAGTGAATGTGTGTAATTTAAGTAAAACTGATTCAATTCCCCTTACTAAACTTATTCTGCGGTGAATTTTATCACGAAACAATGTCAGTCAGAGACCCCTGAAGTAGGTGTACAACTATCGGAAAGGCGATAACTCGGAAAATCTCTTAAGGTAGTGATCCACTTTGTCATAATATGTAGTCATTAGTGATATGTACTGAAGTGAAAGTGCAGACAGAGACGAGAGGTTTTTCAATACAGGCGTTTTCTGGAATAGTCAACCACAGTATGAGTGGTGTTTTCATTATGAATAGAATGATATGTAGGAAGGTAAGTCAAACAACGTTTTTGAACACATACCGACTAAGATTTAAGCTATATGTGAAATCTACGTTACCTCACTGAGTAGTTAGGAAAAGAAATCAACATAAAACCCAGTAAAGTTTTAGATTGCGGTACTTCGTTAAAGCAGCACATTAAAAGGGAGTGAATAGAATTGCAATAATAACAAGAAGAAGAACAACCATAAGAGAGGATAGAATAATTATCTGAAGAACGGTGAAGATTTCTATCATCTTTGAGGAGGGTACTGATAACGAGAATGTACTTGAGAAGTTCATTGCTTGTGAGGTGTTAAAAGCTTGGGATTTTATTATTTATTCAGTTTACTTTTCGTGAATCTTGTAGCAAGTTTCATCGATTAATACGGAGTAGATTTTAAACAGATTTTGTACACTTCTATTAGCACTTTTAGGATCACCCTCAGTGTCTGCAATTAATTATGCGTACTCCCAATAATTAACAAGTGATTGGAGTTTGAGAGTACAGGTCAATCATCAGGCTACTTCATTTCAGACAAAATTCGCGGTGCCGCCAGGTTTTTAGACTATTTTTAAGTCACGTGTGAACATCCTTAAATGATTGGGCATTCTTATAACCAATCAATTACAACTACCCTAGACCAATCAGATTTTTTCCACTCAATTAGCCAATCACCTATGTGAATGTGGGAGGAAGATTGGCCAATATCTTGAATAGTTTAAGGTCATGGTCAAATTACGTTAAGTGTCATAGTTGTTTGGGTGGGACTTAAAAGGACGTTTAAGCATCATTTTTCCTCCAGCCTAAGAGAATCAAATGCAGTGCTTTCATTCACTTCCATTCCTCATTGGATGTGAGTAACAAAGGATGTCAGGGGAAGGAGTTTCTCATACATACACTTCACCATGTGGTACACTAAACCCACCAGAGGAAAAAGATATGTCATCTAACAAAGAAGTCAAAATTAATGTGGATGAAATACTCGTCAAATATGTTGGAGAATGTGGAATTTGGCAGTGGGGTGTTGTTTTGTTATCAGTCTTCAGTTCCCCATCAATGGCAACATTCCCTGTATTTGTAAACGCAGTTCCAGACCATCGTTGCAAAATGGAAAATCCTGTGGAAAGATTATTCAAAGACTACAATTTAAGTTTTAGTGAAGCTGCGGCAGTCGTTGGCCCATGGAAGGATGAAGTTCCTATTACGCAAATGGGCTGTTCTCGGTTCGCTCTCGACTGGAATAATACAAGTCTTGTCGAGGAACTACTTTTAAATAAATCAGCCATTTCAGTCAATAACCGTAAATCCTTACCAACTGAGGAATGCGTTCATGGGTACGTTTATGCCAGCAAAAGGTTCCAGTATCCCAGTACTGTAGTAGAAGAATTTAACCTAATATGCAAAAATGACATACTTTCACCACTTGGAACCTCACTTTTCTTAGTTGGTATGTTATTTGGATTTATTCTTGGAGGGTATGTTGGTGATAAATTTGGAAGGCGACGAGGAGCGATTGGTTTTTCGCTTTTAGAAATTCTTTCGGCAGTAGGTGTTTCTTTAGCTCCAAATCATCATATATATCATCTGATGAGAACAATAGTTGGATTTTCTAGTACAGGTAAAGCCATTGTTCTACGAGTTTTACCAATCGAACTAACTGTCGCTAAGTACCGATCCTACTTTACATCATCTATTATTCTGGGAGTTGTATTTGCTCATCGTGCTGTAATGTCTGGTTTAGCTTATTCAGTACAAGATTGGCGTCTTCTAAATACGTTTTGTATGCTGCCATGTCTTACATGTTTCACTTTTTTTTGTCTTTTGCCTGAATCACCAAGATGGCTTCTATCCCAGTGTCGTGATCAAGAAGCTATGAAAGTACTAAGAACTGGCTGCCGAATCAATCATATGTTCACAAAAGACAAGTCAAAATTATATTACTTTGACACTTTAATACAAAGTACACCCAAGTCAGATAATTATAATAAAAAGAAATGTACTCCCCACGAACCTGTAAATTTCTCTAAACGATGTATCAATATGTTAAAATCAATGAGAAACAGCTTTAATAATACTCAGTTGGTTAAAACACTTGTCATATGTGTTCTACTATTTATAACACATTCTCTTGCCTTTTTTGGTGTTCTGTTATATAGTAAGTATATTAATGACAATATTTATATTGTTACTCTTATTAATGCATCAACAGCTATCCCTGGACCAATTATTGCAAGTATAGCTTACAGATGTTTCAAATATCGACGTATTCCTTTAATGAGTACGTACATGATTTCAGGTTTATCATTATTTATCGGTGGAATTTATACTGTGTTGTGGAAACCACTAACTGATACTGTATTGAATATTTGCTGTAATTTTGCGCTTGTTACGTATTCTGCATCAATGATTATGATGTTAATTTATTGTGCCGAGTTATTTCCATCTTATATGCGAACACGTGGTGTAGGCATATCGTCTGGTTTAGGTAGAATTGGTGGAATTATTTCTACATTTGTAAACTACACAGATTTTTATCTTGGACATGGTACACCTGTATTAATTTATTCCGGTACAGCAATATTTCAAGCTATTTTATTATGTTGTTTACGTGATACAAGTGGTGAAGATCTACCTGATGTTGAACTTAACATGGATTCGAAAACAGATGATAATGTTCTAAGTACAATTAAAACCTTTAGTAATGAAAATGAAAGAAAAGAAGAACAAAACAGGGAAGAATGTATTATCGATTGTAAAACATAGAAGGGGAGAAAATGTTCACTGTTTATGCTTATTATTGACATTATTATGATCATAATTTTTTTGTTTTTGATTCTAAATGATAGTTTCGATGCAAAAATAAAATACTAAATAATAATTTTTTTTCATAAATGACATTATTATTGAAGTATTAATCACATAATATTTGTTATTTGTTTTACATCCAGTTATGCTTTCACGTGATTTTAAGTCTATGAATTATTTTTGAAAAAAACAACAACTTATTCTTAGGACTTGGTCTTTTCAACGTACATGAATTACCATTTAAATTGACTGATTAATTGGATGAGTAAGGTTAAGTCTTGTTTCTCTCGTTCAGACTACTATGACTCGATGGTACAATAAAGTGATGAGGCCAACTAATAAAAGTTTTATCAAACACAAGTAACAGCATAATTTTCCATATATTGTGAAAATGTCCAAATTGAATATATGTACATTTTACTGTTCTCATGCTATAGCTTATTGGTTTAAGCGTTCATGATTCATGGATTTGATAAACCCTCTTCCACTTTCCAAGGTTGGCAGCCCTCACAAAATATGCATGTCTTATGGCTAAATCTATGTAAATGCATGTCAGTGTTGAGTGACATAAATTGATAAATCGTATTACTTCACATTTATAACGTCCGGAGACTTATCCCTGATATCAGTGGGTCTACAATTAAAGAGATGGATGACTCGGGATAATAAACATCACCACTGACTGTTTCTGAGACAGCTAACAGTATTGCTTATTGGAGCTTTTTATACATACAGAAATTAAGTCTGTTAAGTACATAGGTCTATTGAATACCCTCTGATTAGTATTCCATTAAATTAATAAAGCATTTACAAAGTCTCAGCTTATATATAACACCTTTGTCATAGTTCCTTAGCATGGGGTAATTTTTACGTTATCAAGTTGGCAAACTGGTTATGATAACAAAACCACTTGTAAGTTCTTGGATTTGATAAGCGTATAAAATTATGAAAGCAGCGTGTGTTTACATAGTGGAATTGCTTATCACATTCGTGTTTATTTTGTCATTTCATGGGGGAGGAGGATGTCGTGGCCAGGTCAAATTCTGTTTTAGTCAATCATTCCTATTCAGGAAATTTGGATTCTATATAATATGAATTGCTTCTGATATTAGGCGTTCTTTGTGATATCTGAAATTTTTCCTGATTATTTCAATATTGTAAAAATCAATTTTGTGACCTGATTCTACAGTGTGTAAACCTACACCTGATGATTTTTCAAGCTTTTCTAGTTCACCTGGATTTCTCGTTGGTCGAAAAGATGCTCTATGGTGTTTATTTCTTCTGATCTTGATTTCTCGCGATGTTTGTCCCATGTATGTCGCATCACATTCCAAGCACTTTATTTTGTCGACACAATTAGATTGAGAATCCTTAGGGATTTGTTCTTTTACATGGACAGGGTTGCTTTGTAGTGTGAGTCTGGTATTTTGAAGAAAACTCTGATATGCTTATTGAGTACTCTTCTGATGATATCGCCTAACGTTTCTAATCTATATGGAATGACAGCTGTTGAGGTCAATGTCTTCGGGATACGTTTCCGACCATATTTAATGTCGGTGTTGATTTTATTCATGAAGTTTTTTGGGTAGTTATTTTTCTTGAGAATCTTAGCATTGTTTGATTTTTCTTCTTTCTCCTTCTCATTCGTTATCAAAGAGTGTCCCAGTCTACGAAAACTTGAAACAACTGATTCCTTTGCGCTGATGGAGTATGATGACCCGAAATTTAAATATTTGTTGGAGTGGGTTTTCTTCCTGAATATAAATATATTAAAATATCCGTTTTCCCTCCTCTTAATCAGGCAGTCTAGAAATGGCAGTTCACCGAGGTCTGATTCTACTTCCGAAGCAAACTGGATATTGGAAGATAGATTGTTCAGTTTCTGAAAGAATGGATTGTGTACACCTCATTTTAGCAATACAAAAGTACCATCAACGTATTTCAACCATATTTTTGGCGTGAGTAAGCTTGAAAAGATGTTATCTTCAAATCTGTCCATAAAAAGATCAGAGACTATTGGGGAAACTGGTGAAAGCATAACAACACCATTTGTCTGTCAATATAAACTCCCTTTAAATGTAAAATAATTACTTTCCAGACGGAATTTTTAACTCTTAATTATTTCACTTGTGTCCAGTGGACATCTTTGTGATAGTGTTGTATCTGATTCTAGTGAACTGGAAATGATACCAAGACTTTCTGTAATAGGGATACTTATATATAATGAGTTAATATCACAGCTAACCATAATGTCTTCTTTATCAATTTCTCGGTGTTCTATCTAGGATTTGAATTCATATGAATCTTTTACAATATATTGAGTGTCCTTTTGCAGTGGTTGTAGTATCGAAAGTAAGTATTTGGAGAGGTTGTATGTCGGTGAGTTGCTAAAATCTACTACTGGTCACAATGGGACTGTCGATTTATGTATCTTTGGTCGACAGTAGAATCTCGCGGGTATATAAGAATTTGGTTTTAGTTTAAACCGAAGAGAATTTCCAATTTTTGGTTTTAGTTCTTGAAGGAGTATACTGGTATTCAATTTCATTTTGTTGAATTCAACAGATTTCTTCTTTTCTAAAGTAAGTATGGTCCATCTGATAGGTGTTCAATCTCCTTCTTTTTATAATCAGTCCTGTCCATTATAACAGTGACGTTTTCCTTGTCGGCTTTAGTTATAACGATGCTTTTGCCTTTTTTCAGATTTCTTAGTACCTCATATTCTTGTCTGGTGAGATTAGACTTTATGTTTCGTCGTGTCATTAATATGTGTGATATCTTTCAAGGTAGAGATTTTGATTCTTCTTTAGCGATCAGTTGTAGAGCAGGTTCGACCATAGGGACTTTTTCTAGAGTCGATATTGGCTTTCTAGATATATTGAAATTCAAACCTTTCTGTAGTTATGAGATATCATCTTCAATTAGTATCTTGTCTGACATGTTGTGTATAGTTCTAATATTCTTCATATCATTTTCTTAGATTTTCTTTAGTTGTTTCTTTTCTTCAACTTTCAGGAATTTCTGTATTTGTCTTCTTTTGGTGACATTATGAAAATGTGATTCGCGCTAATTAAATAACCTTTGAAAGGATTCGAATACATTAGTTTTAAATAGTGTTTTTGATTCGTGCTTAATAAGAATGTGAGTTCTTCCACTGAGTCTTAGAATATATCAGAAAATATAAAAAATTATTGTTATACTCATTAAATGTTTTATTATGGAAAAACTTTTAATGCTAACTGGTGGTAACCTAAAGACTGCCGTTTAAACAATCTTTCCACTAAATAGTAGTTTGAAGCAACCTAATCGTGAGTTAGTCGAACTATGTAAAACCGTATGTTTGTAGTTGTAATGTTTTATAATTACTTAGGTAAAATCTTTAATTAATTTACTGATTGTATTTTTACAGATGTAAAGATAATTTCTGAGGTAGACAACATTATTATCACGGGATACTAAGGCTTACAAAATATTATTGTATTTTCACAGATATTAAAAATCTATGTCTTCCACAGCTCTAAAATCAACTGAATAGGCCTCATTGGTCACTTGAGAATCCGTGAAAAGCTTCAGATATTCATCCAATATTGCTATTGTGAATTCAATCATTTACGGCTAATATGTCGTGTAAAAATTACTCTTTTTAATGTGATTTACCCATAACCAGACCATTCAGTGTTACAAACAGAAACGTAACAATTGAAATAGTAGCCTCATCAGACACAATTTACTTCTAAATCCTGTGTTCCCTTCTTAGTCTAAATATTTCCATCTAGGTACAGCGGATTGTCCTTTCTAATTCATTGATCGATTACTGTTCGTTTTATTCAGTCTACATTTACTATGGCAAATACTGAAGGTGTAGATGGATAGATAGACAGACAGACGAAACGTAATAGACGAGTAAGGACACTAGAAAAACGAAAACAATTATGTCTGGGGAAATAGCATTTATTTCCCTATTTACCTTGGTCTTAGTAAAGTACACAGTTTGAACGGAATAGGACCTGTTTTCACATTTTGCAATTATTTAGCCGTTTACTATCAAACTAAAATTAACCGTTTTGCAATTTAATGGCTTAGTGAGACCCTAGTTTATGTTGAAAGTAACTGGTGAAAACAGATGAGCGCTCTTGTATGACAGCATCTTCAGCAAATACGAATCTCTATAATAGATAGACAGACAAGGTGATTTCTCAGCTATCATCGTTTATAACCTGGTGCAACTGGATTTGAAATAAATTATAATTAACTGATGCTAGTATAAGAATAAACTCAGCTTGTAATATTTCTCATTAATTTAGCAAGCTAAACTGAATGGCTGAAAATCTCCACCTCTTACATTTGTAGTTACCGAAACAAGGCATATTTATACGTTATCACTCCAGCAAATAAAGTCACCAACGACATGTGGCAATTTTCGTATTGTGGTATCAAAATGCACCTCAGTAGTAGTGTATATAATAATCCCAGTATTAATGATTCTAACCATTCTACTTGAGGTCCTGAAGGGACGTACCCGGTCAAATATTCAGCTATCTATAAAATATTTATTCAGTTTTTAGACTATGCAGCGACCTGTTATTGATATCATTATAAATTTTTCACGATAACTAGTAGTAGGAAGGTAAAGGAATATCTACAGTATGCTTTATGGTTGGAGAGGAGGACACAATGAAACATTTCTATACACCCAGTCATTTATTATCATTAAATGTATTATCTGTTGACTGACCGAAAATGCAATTCAGCATAGATATTTGCGAAGAAATCCAGAAAAATTTTAATCCGATTCTCCACTTTGGCAGCAAGCGAGTGTGTGCTATCAGTGATCAGGTTAACAGGTGACAGGGTTCTTGGCTTTTTTATATGATTAACCATAACTAATTAGTGAAAGAGTTATTGGTTACAGTTATGGAACTGGAGAAACACTTGTGCAAGTCTCAGCAAAAATAGAAATATATAGCGAATCAAGCTAAAATGTAACGCAAACGTTGAACGTACTGGTTACAAGATGCTTCAGTGTTATGCAGCAAACGTCTTGTCTTTTGAAAATTTCCGAAGTTTATTTGAAAGGAATTCTTAGGTTATCATTTACGGACTAACTTCGAAGTGTTTTATGACATATACTGTTCTGAACGAAAAAATCACCGAATATAATTTCATTCCTCGAATTCTCAGTGGAAAATTCAGAAACGGCACTACACCTCCATTGCACTCGGCT